TCTTCTTTAATGCATGTGCTGCTCTAAGATCCATCTATTTTGGTATCTAAGTGGTTGTTATTTTAGATTTAATTAAAGATTCTCTTCTCATTTAACTTTATGTTTGTTTTTCTTTAACTTAATCTTTCCATTCAATATTTCTTTCATACATAGGCTTTCTTCTATCAAATATATCTTAAGTTGTTTTAAGAATTTTAGGTGAGAAAGTACATTAGATTAATTCTTATTCAAGTTTAATAGTTTATGAATCCATAGTTAAAACACCTTCTTTATTTATGTTTCTTGTAGACTGATTTAGTTATGAACCATTTAATCTAGCAGATAGTATACGAGATGTTTATGATAATTAAGGTTAAAAAGTACATTTCTTTTTGAATTCCTCTTCCAATTTGAGTGCCAGATAGTCTTATTTCTCTTGTTTATGCTTTAAAAAATTTATTCCTGATTGATACATATCACTATTTGGACGGGCTCTCTAAGATTTAATATCGTTTTAACTGATTAATTCAGATTCTGAAAAGTATTTTTATTTGATATATTTTTGCTTATTTAAAGAAGAAATAGTGTGCTTTTCATGAAAATTTGATGTTGACAATAAGCTTAAACTAGCTTCATCGTAAATATTAATGTTCATTTATTAATATATTGTTTATCAATTAAATATTGTAAATATAATAGATGTAAGATGTTTAATTATAATGTTTAGAAACATTATAACTCTATTAAAATACTATAATAATTAGTAAAGATAAAATACAAGAGAATTAATATGAATTAAATAATACAAAAAATAATTATGTAATTTAAGAACATTTAGATTAAAGTTATAAGAATATATCATCTATTTTTTATCATTATTTTGTTTAATTTTTTTTATTTTCTTTTCATTATATTTCTAATGTATTTTGTGTTAATAAATTACTTATATGAATTTGATAAAACTTTTTAGTTAAATTTAATGTTGAGAATAAAATAATATTTATTATTATTAACAAACAATATCACTTTATATAAGTATTGACTTATTTGATTTTTCTAATTTAGAATTTTAATATAGAATTCAAGACTATACAGATTGTGATTAGTATGAATATTAAATGTCTAACTGATTATTAGATAAATATTTTATTCATTAAGAGTGTTGAATTTAATAACGAATATTTTATATTTAAACGTACTTATAGAGTGATTCAATCTGAATCATTGTATTATTATAGTAGTTTAAATTAATTAAGATTAATGACGATAGCTTGGTATAAATATTTGGTTTCTTAATTGAACTTTATTATGAATAATTATATATATTAAATCAAAAAACAAAAAGAATAGATGACAACTACTCTTCCTTTTATATCGAAGAATAAGAACTAGTAATGAATTTTTAAAATAGTAGTGTGGAAATGAAGGCAGTAACTTGGTAAAAGGACTCTCATGGACTTTTTGATTATGAGACAAAATCTTTAAGCGTTAAAAAGCATAGAGTCGAAGGATCGTGCAAAATTTGCAGAGAAGGTTTGATAAGTTGAAATATAATTAGACAATGAAATAGTTATTTAAGAAGGTAAAAATAAAGATGAAGCACACATACCATTAACAGGTATATAAGCTTAAGGAGGTAATATTATAAATAATTTTTAGACTAATATTTTATTTAACCAAATCAAAACTCAACAGAGAATGACAATTATTTAATTGTTCGTAGTTTAAAAAATGCAGATGGTGTTTAAAAGGTATAAAATATATTTTATATAATAGGGTTACACATTATAAGAGGGTGATTTGTTAAAATTGGGCAGAGTAGAGTATCATGTCATTGAGATTAGAGATGCTAAAGGATAAATTAGATCTGTGAAGGATATATTCTAATCAGAAGCAAAGTTAGCTCCACCATTAGAAGGTGGTGTTGCAAAACAATGCAAAATATGTTTAATAGAGGATGAAACACCAGAAGATCCATTTATAACACCATGCAAATGTAATGGTAGTTGTGCATATGTACATTTCAATTGTCTCAAACATTGGCTTGATAGTAGGGGTTATAAAAAAGAGTCTGGTAACACAATTTCTTACAAATGGAAAAAGTAATCACAATTAATTCTAAAATTGTAGATTAGAATGTGAAGTTTGTTAGGAATTATTGCCATAATAAATTAAATTTAAAGGAAAAGTGTTGGATTTAGCATCCCTAGAAAGGCCAAATTAACCGTATATTATATTAGAAAATACACAAATTTCAGAAAAGGATAAGAAAGCTTAAAGAGGAATATACTTAATAAAAGGAACACCAGATGATTAAGTTAAATTGGGTCGTGGTCATTAATGTGAAATTCGAATATCAGATATCTCAGTGTCAAGACTTCATGCATTTATTAAATATGAGAAAGGCAATTTTGTTATCATTGACAATAACAGTAAGTTTGGTACTTTAGTTCGATTATCAACACCATATCTTATCTGTATGGATAAAATTGCAATTCAAGTATAACAAATAAATATATATTTAGGTTGGAAGAACAGTGTTAACATTTGTTATGAAATCTTTTTCAAGTCTGAATGCAAATACTCATGCTGGAATAGCAGCTCTTCATAATGGAGATTAAGGTAAAATGATGTTCTAAACTGGATTTTAAGCAGGTAGTAATAAAACCTAAACCATTAATAATAACTAAAAAAAGCATGACAAACACACTGGATAATGATATTTATTTTAAATACAATCTACAAATACACTATATTAAATCAATAATAATAATAAACATTCTATCAATATCTAGTAATGAACTTAATTATATATATTAATTGGAGGAATGTGAATTGGATAAATACTAAAAATTATAAACACAATCATATAATATACATTTTTTTTGTAAATAATCAAACAATGTCATTGAAAGACTTTAAGATGTTATCTAAACTAGGTAAATGACATTTATATAATAAAAGGCGATGGTGCTTTTTCAAGTGTATATAAGGTAAAAAGGATTGAAGATCATCTTGAGTATGCTTTGAAAAAAGTTAATCTTAACAACTTATCTGAAAAGGAAAAACAAAATGCATTAAATGAAGTGAGAATTTTGGCATCAATTCGTCATCAGAATATCATTAGCTATAAAGAAGCTTTTCTTGACCCAACCAGTAATTCCTTATGGTAAAATATACTTTATTCATATATCTGTAGTATCATTATGGAACTGGCTTCAGATGGAGACTTATTATAAAAGATCAAAAAATACATCAAAACAAATAGTTCCTTTAAAGAAGCAGAAATTTTTCGATATGCTTTTTAACTATTAAACGCTCTGAAATCTCTACATGAAATGAAAGTGATGCATAGAGATATCAAGAGTGCAAATGTTTTCATGATCAATAATGAAGTCAAATTAGGAGATATGAATGTATCTAAAGTTGCAAAACAAGGATTATTATACACTTAAACTGGCACTCCATACTATGCAAGTCCTGAAGTATGGAAAGATCATCCTTATGATTGTAAATCTGATATATGGTCATTGGGATGTGTTCTTTATGAGATGGCAGCTCTTAAATTGCCATTCTAAGCTGAGGATATGGATGGTCTTTTTAAAAAAGTAGTAAAAGGTACCATTAATTGTTATTATAGGGTTTTATCCAAAATTACCAGTTACTTACTCATTTGATTTATAAAATCTTATAAGGATGATGTTATAAGTGTCTACAGCATTAAGACCTACAGCTTCTTAATTATTAGAATTACCATTTTTTTAGAAATACAAATTAAATACTCCAGATTCAACAGCTTAATTACTAAATACTATATAATTTCCGAAAAATAAGAGTTATATAAACATTTTCCCTAAGCCTAATTATAAATTTAAGACTGAATCAACTGATAAAAATGATTTAGAATAAATTCATCGTAAAAGATAAGCAACTTTGGGAGGAAATGCTTCAATTTTCTCTAATCCAACTAGATTATCTTAATATGAAGAAAGCAGTAATATGAAATATTATTTTAGATCATTAACCTTAAATACCAATTAAACAAGATAGATTAGATTAAATTTAATTAAAATCAAATCGTCATTCTCTTGTTAAATTATTATCTGATGGTTCTTTACCTCGTTCTAATAGTAAAGTCAATACAAATAAAATCTTATAAGATAAGATCAGAAAAAGATTGCCAATTCCCAATTTATTAGATAACATGTCTCCAATACTTTGCAAAAAAAGTGTAAGAGTTGGAAATGATTCTAATTCTACAATGCTACCATAAATTGCTTGAATATTTAGTATTAAATAACTAATTTTAACGAATATATATATTTATATATATAATTAAATTGCCAAAAGAATTAATGTAAGAAATTGACTTGTTAAGGTTACATAGAGAAACATTGAAGTATTTGGAAATAGAAAGCATCTTTAAACGTTTAACATAAACCTTCATAAATAAAATTTACAATCTTGTTAAAGATATTTTTGCTGAAGAACATAAGTTCACTATTTAAGTATAATTCATAACTGAAAATAGGAATTATTGAAAATGGCTAATTATAAAGAAATTCCTCTAAAAGAATTCAAGTTAGTTGAGCATTACAAACTTAATTCACAAATATTCAAGACTAATCTATAAACTATTTTTTCTATAATTGTCGATGATCTTTAAAATACATTCAATAAATAAATTATTATTGAAGAAAGATCAATTCTTGAACCTAGATAGCTTACATAAATTGATGAAGAATCCCAAATATGCTTTACTGAAAATTGTAATGAAATATCTCAAGAATACTCAAAAACACATAGAGATGATGTCAAAACAGAAGAAGCTCCATTAGTTAATTAGGAATCAAAATAAGCTTAGAAAATTCCATTAGCAAAATTATTGTCATTTGATAAGATAACTAGTTTATCAGTAGCTAATTCACCAAGACATTCTAGAGAAAATAGTTTAACTACTAATACTTTTAGATAATCTAATAAACCAATATAATAATTGATGTTAAATACTAATAATGGATCTAAAAAATAAACAGTTACACAATTAGCTAAAAATAAAAGTTTGGAATTAAAGTCCATAGCTGAAACTTTGATAGCTCAAAGTAAGATAAGTCCAAAAGGAAATCAAACAATTATTTTTAATAATTTGATGTCAAAAATGAATAGTCTCAAGGAGAACACAATAAAACCATGAAATAAATTTTTACTTTATATATAATAATGGTTAAAAGTATATTCACCATTAAAAATTATTCTCATTTTTAATATGTTTAAATTGAGTTAAAAACATTTCCTATTCATTTTGATATGAATTATCCAATTATACTTTTTAAGATATCATTATATCTTTTAATTTTGGTATCTAAGGATAAAATAAATTAATTACTAAATCAATGGCTTTTTCAGTGTTTTTTTATATTTAAATTTATCCACCTCCATTTAGACATCCTAATGGACAAGCCATAATTTCAACATATTTATATTTACAAGTTTTTGTTTTAATTTAAGAAATTAAATTAGCTATATTTTTTAATCCAAAAACACGAGCATAAATACTTTATAATTCCATATTTTCATTATAAACAGTAATTTCAATAAAATCTTTGTTTTTTCTAATATTATATTTGACAATCCAATTTGGCATCAAAACACTTTAGATTATATAATCTAAATAATTATTTGATGATGTGTTATGATATTCTTAAAAATTAATTGCCATAGTCGAAAGTTGAATTTGTTAAGGAATTATATTTATTTTCTAAATGTAATCCTTTACAAATTATTCAATTTCCCTTGTACTTAAAACAATATTTATATCTTCATTATTTTCTTGTCTAACAGCTTCAAGTTTTTTATCATAACATGGCATTATTGTAGCAATGTAATCATGATTTTTCTTTTGGATTGCTCCAAAAATTTGTTATGGACTCTTCACTTTACTCATATGATTAATTATGGATTCATCTAATGTCTTTTCAGCATAACATACCCATCCTGGACATTCGGAACAAAGTAATGGAGTCATATTTGTTTATTTAAACTCTTAAATTGAGTTATTAATAGCTATTTTCATGTACTCAGTCATATCATATAATTTAACATTCATTTCTTAAAATATTTAGTGTAAGATAGAATGCATTTCTGAATCTGTAAAATTTAATACATAAGATAAGGAAGCTCTTGCTTATGGACTAATTCCAATTGCAGGATTTTAATATTTCTTAATTGCTTACAAAAATTCCTCTAGACTTTAGGTTTAAATTAGTATAGTTTCTGCAGTAGTAACACATCCGCTGCATGCAAGACAGTCTTGTAAAGAGACTTTCGCAACATTATTCTAATTTTTAATCAAATTAGGTTTTAATTAAATAGATGGATCATCAAGTTGAAGTTTAACATTTTTCATTAATGGTTTGATACATTCTTAACTTGGTATGATGTAATCACTAACTGAGGAAATTTTAATAGTGGAAGAAAACATTGTTAATGATTTTATTAATTTATGTTCACCTATCGAGAGAAGGTATATAACTTAAATAAAATTATTAGATAGGTATAATTTCATTCAGAAATTTTGTTAATTGGCTCTTTGATTTCTACAAATAGCTAAGATTTAAATAATAAATATATACCACATCCTAATGCTTGTTCTTCTCCATTCGCCTTATGATCCATTTTTATTGGACATTTATCCTTACCAGGACATTTAGGAAGTTTTTCTTTAGGGATTTTAGACACATAATCTCCGTTACATTATCTCTTGTGGCAATCTTCACAAAAGTGAGTTGTACCCCTTTGAGAATATGATAAATGTAAATGTATACCAGCAAAACCATACAGCAATTTAACAGCAAAATTTGCATTTGAATTCTATGTATTCTTTTCCATGAACTTAACATGTTTCTCCTACTGGTACTTCACAACAATTAGCACAAATCAATTCTTCAGGTTTATATTATTTATCTCCTTCATCCAAAGCTCTTTGACAATCTTTAGCACCACCAAAATAAGGATTCTTGCATTTGAAACATTAATAATAACAATAAATAGCCATAGCATATTCTTAGGGTTTCCCATAAAACATTTCACCTATTTTACTGACCTTTTCATCTTTATCTCTGTTTTCATATTTCAATCTATCAAGTGATTTCTTCATCACATCTTAAAAGAGTAATGAATATTAATTCACAAGACTTTAAGGTAAAGATGGTTGGAATTCTAACCATGTATTACACAAAGGACATAAGCAAAACTTAAAAACTATTCTTGGTCCATTCCATTTGACATCTAATCTTTTTAAAATACAAGTATAATGAAAGATCTATTATTAGAATATAAAATACATGACCACATTTTGATTGGATAATAGGGGCATTCTTTAAACCCTCAACAAAACAAATATTACAATAATCATCTCCTTTTTAATCACCTTTACAACATTAATCATTTAAACAAGTTGAACATATCTATTCATTTTTAAATCCTGGACAAGGATGTCTACATGCTAATATTTTATTGCAAGCAAATTAAGCTTTTTCTTGACATTCTTTTTCTTAACATATATCCTAAAAAGCTTCTGGTACATTAAATTGAACATTATGAATAGGCTAATCACAATATCTACAACACCTTAAAAATATTGCAAATCAAAATTACTTTGATGACTTTTTTATTTTATATTCTTCACAATTCATACCTAAATGATATGGAATTGCCTTGCATTCTTTACATTATTCTGTTTTACATGATGGATTAAAACACATAAATCTATTATTTAAATAATGTTCCACATATTTTCTAATATTATATATCATTGTAATACTATTATAATTATTAATTTGTGACAGGATCTTTTAGAACAGTTATTGAACTACCCTTCTCAAAAGCACCTTTTTCAGAACATGCTGAACATTTTACTATGTTGAATTATCTTTCTAACATTATCGCAGAATATTAATCATGTTTTTCTCTTCCAAGCAATTACTTAAATATCTTTTATAATTACTATTAATTCTTATTCTGACATTTGTTTTTTGCATAATTGGTTAGGACATAAAAATACTATATTCGTTTTATAGTCTTTTTCTATCTATTTCATTAAGCAAGGTCTGCAAATTGGTTAGAAACAATGTTCAAAATATGTAATAATATCTGCATCTACTTTTTTTCCACAAACTTCACATTCCTAAAGTTTTTGGAATTATTTATAAGTATTAAAAACATTGTCTCTTGGAATTTCTGCTTAAGGAGGTTTTTAACTGATTTGACTAAAACTAGGTTATTAAAACTAGAGTATAGGTCCATTTCCATATTCAGAGGTCTTGGATATCGATGAGCTAGTTAAGCGAATATTTGGTGGGTTTAGTAAAGCTTCTACTCTTTCAATGAAAATTAGAAACTCACTCTTTAAAGCAATTAAGTGTGGCCTTTACATTTTTTCAACCTAAAAGTTGTCAAAGATTTAGAAAAATGGAGATGCTTATCTATAATTTATGCATTTTTTTATGTGATCTGTCATACTTGGTTGATTTAGTGGAACAACTTGTTAGCAGAAACAAATGAAATTTATCTAAGGCTCTATTTGATGATAATTCATTTTGTTTTTGAAGATTATAAAAAATTAATTAATGAAAAAATCATCTTAAATATCTCCATTTTAGATATTAATCTTGTTGAATCAAAATCAGAAGAAATCCTAATAATTCTAAATTCTATTAAATGATAAGAAAAAAATATTCATCATTAAAATACTCATTTTATTCCATATTATTCATCAGTAATTATTAATTCTTTTCTAATGTATACTAATATATATATAGGAATATAATAAGATATGAATAAAATAAATAATATAATAATAAAAGTTAATTGTAAAAATCTTTATCATAAATCAATTAAATATTTATATCATATTCTAGTTTTCTACTCCAAAGAATAAGCATTCAAATAAATCATTATAAAATGTTGGAGTGTATTTACATGCTCTTGTACAATCAGGAGAAAATGTCATTTCTAATAATTTTGGTTAGAATCCATTTGAATCAATCATTAAATCCATTCCATAAACACTTCTATTCTAATTTAATAATAAATAATTCTTATACTTTAGTATAATTGGCCATATCTGGTTGATGAGTTCTTAAGGCTATAAATAATTATCTAACCATATGTTAAATTGATTCATATTATTTTTCCCATGTATGTGGATAATATTCTTTATTGAATTCCTCTATAAATTCATGCATAAAAATCTATGTTAATTTATGACCATAATTCATAACAGTGAAATGTGTTTCATATATGGATAATGTACTAAGTTATTATAAATGAATTACTTGACATCTTCAGTATATGGATTATTAGAGATTCTGATCCAAAATGTTTTATATAAATAAACACTTAATGGTTCAATTGATTTTAGAGCAACAATAAATCTCAAATCAAATTTCCTATTTCTCAATTTTAAAGGTCTTTCAATATATTTTTAAGCTAATTTAGGTCCTGTTTCAATTAACCTTAATACAACATCTAAATTATTTGTAACAACCATATCCATAGATCTGGCCATATTTGGAGGTTTGATAATCCATAGATTGTTAAGATGTTAAAGTTCTCTTGTTTTATATGCTCCCATGAATAATGGTAATTAGGTTTATAAATTAAATGTTTCTTATAACCATGGTACTTCACCATAAGTACTTTATATAGTATTTGCTAATTTCTCTTTAGAGATGATAGCATATTCATGAGGATATTGATTAATAAATTTATCTGCATACTTTTGATTAATATCATCATGAACACCAGCACTAAAGAATACTAGATTGGCTTCATCTATATCCAAAGTGAAAGATACATAAGGTAAAGTAAGATTTTTGGTAACCATTTCTAAATCTGTTATAACTTTAATATTCTCTTTAGGTAAATATTCAATAGGTTTAGATATTATTTAAGGTTCAACAATCTTTAAATTATGTAATTTCTTTTTGTATTCATTATATCCATTTAAAATAAAGTCATAAGGAATATCAAACCAAACATTCAATCTATATGAACGAAATTTAGCTTCATCAACTCCTGGTAAATAATCTCTAAAAATAGGTTATTCATGAATATCTTTAATTGGGAATAGAATACTATATGCAACAGCATCATCATCTATTTTTCCATTTGGTAAATATAAAAATGGTACTACACTTACATTAGGTGTATCTGAATGTTAAATACTAGATCCCAATTCATCCATTAAATACCATACAGCAGATTCATCCATTTAATCACTTGTTAATAATCTGTAATTGCCTGTTAATTTAAATAGATTCTGTTTAATTAATTAGATATCATTGTGTTCTTCTTTAGCAGGTGTATATGATTCATAACGAATATCTCTTTAATTTACTAAACGTAAATGTGGAGCAACTGCATTCAATTTATTAGTTTTGTGTAATTCATACAATACATCTTCAACTTCTAAATCACATGTTAAATATTCTACATTAGGAAGCAAACTGAAAAAGGCATTAACTTCTTCTAAATCATTTAATTTAGTATTTTTTATATCCAACACTCGTAATGTTGGAAACCAATTAGAAATCTACTTCACAGATTTTAATCTCAATACATTTCTTCCTGAGAGATTTAAATAATTAAGGGGTTCTTAGCTATTTGCCTTTTTTGTATCAAAATCAGCTGTAACATATCTTATAACCCATTCTGTTGCATTTGATGTAAATGATAAATCCACTAATTCTATTTATGGGCATTGTTCTTCTATAGATAATAATAATTGTTCTTTGTTTTCTGCAACTGGATTGCCATTAAGCCATATTGCCTTAATTTATTTATAATTATTAAGAAAGTGAATAACTTCATCTATTGAATTAATATTATTTCCAAAGAAACTAATTGCTAATGTATCTTCTTTTGGTTTAACATCTTTTAATGTTTCTAAGGCCATTTCATCAAAGTCTTCAGTATGATAATACACTTTATCTATTTTAAATAATGGCTATTTTTTATTCCAATATTTAAGTATATTCTTCAATCTATCAACCTATTTAATTGCAGTATGTAATTCAGTGTATCTGAAACTCAAAGCATGATCAATCAAAAACACTTTTTCAAATGCTTTCAATGGCTTTGTACATTATAATACATATGATTCTTATTCTTGATCATCAACTATCTTGAAATATTCTCCTGCATCATATATTTTATTTTCTAATTTTGTTTTTAGTTATTCTAATAACTCGACTTTAGGTGGGAAATTGATTCCTGCTAATTAGACTCCATGATTATTGTAAAATACTTCTAATTCTCCTGTTAAATTCTAAAAATTCATAAATTAATTTTTAATCTTAAATAGTTTATAAGAAATTTAGAATATAAATTAAGTTATTTAAACTTTTTCTAAGATAAATGTAATTATATATATATTCTATTATTGAATCAAGTTTATAAAGTATCAAAAATTATCAAAAA